AAAAGCGACCATCTCACCTTCCACAAAAAGCCGTACAGCTTTCTCAACCTGTCCCAAAATGTTTTTAGCTGTGCAAACATAATTTCCTGAGTCATTGAAGGTGGCTTTGCTGATATGTAACAAATAATTTGAACTGTCCGAATTTGCTAATCTTGCACCATTTATTCTACTCCAGGAAACTTTGGGCTTTGGATTGCCATCTACCGAGCAGTAAAACTTAGCAGACTGGTTCCGAATGACAGTGAGTAAAGCTGGCGATACAGTTACTGTTGGTGTAGATATGGACTGTCCTGGTTCACCTTTAGGTCCCGGATGCCCTGGAATTCCTGCACTGCCTAACATAGTTCAAGAAAGAATGAAAAGATTTCAAAACCTCTCTTTTTAGCCAAAACTGCGTTAAGAAAAATAAATAATTGAAGAAAAAAACAAACAGTAGAGGTATTACAGTGCAATAACAGCAACAACGACGACTACAAAAACAGATAGCAGCTTTTAGCTTTTTAGTTTTTCTCTTTTTCTTTTTTTTCCCTTTTTTTTAACGTGTAAAAAAATAATAACAATAATTAAAAAGCAAACAAGAGCTTGGGGTGGGTCCCAGTTTACTCTGTAGAAATAATGTCGGAATTTATTTGCATTAAGTAAATCGCAGAAAATACATCATATTAATATTAATTATTTTTTAATTTCTTTAATCTCTTTAATTTCTAAAAGAAATTTCTAAAAGAAATTAAGCCAAGCTTGTACAAACAGTCAGACTCAATCCGCGCAAAGCTATTTTTATAATAATTTACGGTACCTTCGTATAATTTATAGTTTTACTTTCGTCAACTCTCATATTAATTTATTCGTATTGTCTCCTTTGTAATTTTATCACTTCCATTTTACGCCTAGCGTTTACAAATTTCCATATTTTATCGCCTTTATCATTCCTACGTCTTTAATTTAGTACATATATGTAAAAAAGTCCTTTTCATCAGCTTGAAAATGACCTCAGCGAGGTCGAAACGTCGTTCAAAATTATTATCACTAATTTTTATAATATTAATTATATACCTTTTTCCCCTTTGACCCCGTCAGGCCCAATATCTCCCTTGATGCCTTGCTTTCCCGGTTCTCCTGGAGGTCCCATAACTCCTTGTGTTCCCTTTTTTCCCTTAATTCCTTTAGGCCCTCTCTTTCCGGGAAGTCCACGAACGCCTGATGGTCCAGGAGGGCCTGCCACACAAACCCTGTCTGGACTGTGACAAATATATCCTTTCACAATCGATCGCATATATCTCTTGATAGCCTCTCCCAGGTCACGGTAGGCAATAGATTCATTGCCGTTGACTGTATCCACGCTGCGACGGACGACATGAATTTTGTCTCGGATCGCTGAAATTAACAAACTAGAACTATTGACTTATGTTTCAAATATATTTTGGCTGCATTCCAGATTGACATATTTTTTAATAATTTTCGAGAGTGGTTAGATTTCAAGTATTAACCGATTGTAGCAGACGATATAATCTGGATCAGGCCATTGTAAAAATCGCCGGAATACATTTTTAAGCCATGTGTACTCGAGCCCAGATACTCCTGGATAGAGAAAAAGGCATTGATAGTTGACATCGAGCCCCCTTAATGAACGTATTAATATATCGTATAAATCTTAGTATCGTTCTAATACAATTTCTGCAGTCTGGTTGGGTTCCTTATTCGTTACTTATTTACTTAGATAACGAGGGAAGCTGCTAGCCTAATACTGTGTGGCTTTAGACTGAATGAAATAAATACATGAGCCTGTCAAGTTTTGAACGAACACATAATTGATAACAAAGCAATTAGATTAGTCGCCCATGAATTAACCATATGACAGAATTCTCGAGCTCGAAATCTCATCGCTCTACTATTTATTATTCAGAGAAGAAACACAGATACCGTATACTATTTAGAAAAGAACACATACACAAGAAAAATAAGAGGGGATAAAAACTTAAAAAAAAAATCAGAGCAAGTTCTCGATCACGTACCATTTGAGATGTCTGGGTTTTCGTTCCCGCGGGAAAAGGCTGTGCTTTCTTTCAGAACGTCTCGGATTTGCTGAATTTGCAGCGAGAGTTTCGAGTCCATTGCCCTTGAATCCCGAGCAACAATCTCAATTCTCGCAAATAGAGCAAAAACCAACACAATTGCAATAACAGAGAACGTAGAGGAGCACTTGTGAAGTACTTCACTACGGTCTCTCTTTCTAGTGATCATGTTAATTTCTCGTATGCTGTTGTCCATGGCGAATGGAGAAACAGCGTCGAAAGGGCGAATTTGTGAACCAGTCAGCTGAAGCACTTTGGGAGCTCCTTGAATGTTTCTCAAGCAAGATTGAAAAAGATCTGTACTATCTCCATTTGAAAACTTTCTACTGTAGCTTGTTTACATCATATGTGACCTCAGTTACTTGACCCGCGCTTACGTCAAAGCACACGAAGCATTTCCGCGGCAGCCAGCGGTATGTTATTGTAAAATAAAACAGAACTGTGCAAATCAATTTAGGAGCACAGGATTTCTGCTTGCTACTTAGTCTTTGAGGTCATGAAGCACCAATATTACTGGCTCGATTGCCATGTTCTGTAGCCGTTTCTATAGCTATGAATCACTATTTTGCTTGATTTTGAATAAAAATTATAATTCTGCGTCAGACAGACGTGGCTTCCCTACCCCCTTCTTTGGCGATGATTTTTGCTTATTGTTTGACGTCATGAGAGAAACATCCTGTGAACGTGTCTGCTGAAGCGATTGGGTTGTTTCATACATCAGTAACAACGTCCGCCCAAGCTATAGCTTACGACCCCCCAGCTGACCTAAGAACATTAATAATAGTAGCGTTTCAATGTATCATTCAACACTTGTAAGCACCGGATGCGAAGCGGTTTTGGTCGAGTTATAGTTCTTTTTGCGAGACCCGGTCGAACCAACGATACTAATGGAAAAACTAGACGGGGATGTATTGCCGCCGAACTGTACCAAAAGTGTACCCAAAATAGTCGGTTAGTGAACTCCTTTTAAACTCCCTGCAACGAGGCCCACGAAGAGAATTAATTGAATGTGTAATCAAACTTAGCTTCACAGGAAATGATGAAGGGGAATATATATCAACTTAACTTTTTACAAGCGAACAAGATTATCAACAACCCTTTCCAGCAATATTTAGCCATTTAGCGCTGGGTCGATCTGATCTGGCCTATATAGAGCGATGGAACTGAAACATTTTCCAATTTTTGGCAAGCAAACCCTAACCCTAACCCCATCTCATTCTTGGTGCGTTATTTTCGCTGGCTACAATACTTGAACGAAAAGACAATTTCTCGTTCAAGCCGTGTGTTCTCTAAATTGCTGTCAGTATAACAGGACTGAGGCCAAGAGTCACACATCTAAACTAAGGGGGTGCTCAAATTGGTTTTCCTCGAAATAAAAAGGGTCAGAGGGACGAGGAAAATTCTGCTAACACGCGCCCAACTAGACGAGCGGACTAAGATATTTTTTTTCTTGTAGACATTTTTCTAGACATATTTTGCATATCTTGACAACTTCATGGTTAAAAATACGCAATGTTTCTTTAGCCATCATTTGGAAGCCTCTGAGGCACGGCCTCTGGTCCTTTTTGAAGTTTTTATGGACCTCGATTTCGTCTCGGTCCATAAAAACGCAGGAAAAAATAAATAAAAAAAAAAAAAGGAAAAAAATAAAAAAGCTCGGGGATAATATCCAGCAATGTTGACCTCAATAACAATAACGCATATTTTCAGTACATTGCAAGATAAATTTTAAATAGTAAACTTCTTCTTTGGAATCTTAAAACGCAGTAGGAATAGCTTAATTCATAATATGAATTCATAATATGAATTGAATAAAGCTTGAAAAGCCAAGCTTGATTGCTTCAGCTAGGTGTTGCAAAAGCACAATTGAATTAGGATTCGATGATCTCTTAAGCTAAGGTGTTCATGAATCCATTTCACTACGTTGTACGGTAGTTCTTTGCATAGATATCTCATGTACCCGCGTTTTTTCCCCACCCTTGACACAATGAACAACCTGCAAACTTTCAAAGCCATTTTCTCCAAAGAAACAGTTTACGGGTGTAGTTTGTAGACAAGATTTCATTTGAATTTGGCACCGACTCCTCAAAATTTGGCCGATGTCGCAATTTTCGCCACATCTAAAGACATTTGAAAACGTTGTCAGGATTATTGATGCTTTCGTTTAAAATCTTCTAATTCAAGTGTGAACATTGAAGCTTAAAATGCGACGTGAACTTTGGTCCATTCTAATCGTTTATCTTCGATTGATGTCAAGTAGCAGGTCAAATTTTATTTCCGTTTCGCAACATGGTTCTCGCGCACTCATCGGTAAGCTAAAAATTTTATTTTCGTACTGTTTTAATAATCAACAGTTCAGAAAAAGGCAAAACAATTTTTGTTGAACTATCATTAATGTCCGTCGAGGTGTTTAAATAATTTATAAATTCGCGCTATAACCGTGGCTTTGTTGCGTTTAAAGTGTACTTCCATGAAAAGAGTATTATATGTTCTTTGTTTTTGTTACTTAAATGTATAGAGGAATTTGGCTCAATGCGATCACTGTATTCGAGTCTATTAACAGACAAAGCACAAAACTGCCTCATGGGCCNTTTGGGGGAGGGGGTGACTTTGGGTGGAGGGGGTGACTTTGGGTTGAGGGGGGTGACTTTGGGGGAAGGAGTGACTTTGGTGGAAGGGTGGTGACTTTGGGTGGAGGGGGTGATTTGGGGGGCGAATGATCACATAGTTTTTAGGGAGAACGGAAGGGGGACCAGTCATCCCCGACAGAGTATTAATGGGGGACTCTAGATAATTGACTGTCATGAACTGCCAATGAGAGAGTGGATCAAACATTCAGAGCCTTATGGGGAGTAAGGTAATCAGGTAAATTATACCATGACATGGCAAAAATCCTTCCCCTTTATCCCCGTAGGCGATGGATGAATAGATGAGGACTGGTTACTTGGTTTCTAGAAAAAGGTTTGTGTCACCCATATTTTGTATACCAATTTCAGGAGCTTCCGAATCAGGAGATGTGGTCTTAAGATGCGGAATTAACGACATGATTGACATTCTGGAAATCAAAATGAACGACACAGATTTGCAAGAACAGGAAACGGAAAGGATAAAGCAACAGTGCGCAACTAAAGCTTTTGAAAATGATCGAGCACCTCAACAGAGCATCGGGCAGCCGGTCTTCTGTCCTGTTTTAAGACAGGGAAGAGATGGGAAACTGAAAGTGAGATATCAGTGTCTGCCAGTTCCAACAAGGGTCTTGGATCCTGTTTTGAGAAACAAACTGAACAGTACAGGATCTGTAGTAAGAAGGCATGTTGGACAATTCAGAAGGCCGAACAAGCGTAAGAAACTTGCACCGAAAAATTAGACAAAAATGTCTCTAAGCATCGTGGGAACTGGTTAGTCCCCATAATCAAACGTTTTTAAAAGAGAGAAGAAGACCCTTCAGATATTTCACATTTCCGCAATCTGTCCAGTTTTCTACTGGTGAGCGAGTGTTGTTTCTATTCTGCGACAATTTTAATTTCTTACAACACGGTGGTCAAAATCTGAATCGAACAAAGAGCATCTAGACCTCAAAGAGAAAATATGTCTGGTCCGGAAAAAGCAATTCATTTGGGTCTCTAGCATTGGGGAACTAATAAGACGTTTGTGATTGTTTTGAACCTGCATGCATTTCTTTCCAATGTACGATTTAGGCAATTTTCAGCGAAGTTTACCATAACTCAGCTGTTATGTGGGTAAGATATGAAGACTACTTGCATTTATTTCGTTTTCGTGGAACCCTTGAATCACTTCATTGTTCATTTAAAACAAAGTTAAAGTTAAAATTTCAAAATGATTAGAAACTATCTTTCTCTTGGGACTATCCTAATGTAAAAAGAATTGTCTGTCATTTCTAAGCGATCAAAAAAGAAAAAAAAGCTCGACTGCTTTCATTTGAAAATTCTAACGTAAAAAATCCCATTATGGAACTATCTGACGTTGAGAAGTTTGATGATGACGTAACCAGCGCCGTTGTTAGAGCCAGCCTGGTTGGACTGCTCTTTACCACTGTTATACGATCCACCACCTCCCCCACAGGAGTTAGATCGGCTACCACTAGCACCCCCAGAGTAGCCACCACCACCACCACCCCCACCACCGGCTCCGTTTGGTCCGCCACCGCCACCGAATCCACCTTCCACTTCATTTTGATTGGATCGGCCTCCGACACCACCTGTAAAATAATTGACGTGTGTCATTTATCCATAGAACCATTTCGTTTAAGCTTTACTCGATGATAATTAAAAATATTTACAAAGCGTGAGGAGTTTGCTTTTTTTTAGAATTTCAGGAAAATTCTAGCACAAAGATTTCTCGTTTTAATGAAAAAATTGAGAAGAATCTTTTAGGAGGATATCATATCGAGGCTCTTCAGATGTTTTAATATGCCTCTATTCTCGATTAGTTCCCTCCAGGGACCTGTAAATTATCTTTATTTTAGAATATAAAGTCCCTTATGTATAGCACCTCGTCGGAAAAGAAGGACAAGAGCGCACGCGACAATCTCTAACGCCAATCTAGGTATCCGGTGATCAAGGAATCTTGATAGGTCAAAAACAGAAGACCCTGCCACTCATTTATATGTCATTGAATAAGAATAGCCTCTATTGAGTTATCTTCGTTCTTCACAATAGAGGCTATTCTTATTCAATGACATGTAAATGAGTGGCAGGGTATTCTGCAGTTACTCCCAAATAAGTATAAAAATAAATTAAACCCGCCTTGCTTAGTCATTACAGTGACGTTCTTAAAAATTTCGCAAAAATCCCGAGGTCAGGGAACCGTGACCGCGTGACCGTGACCATAATCCCTTTTTTGGAGCTGTCGTGTACACTTTTACGCTTTGTTCCCGACAAGCGGCCATATCAATCTGTAAAATGACTTACAACGGTTAGTTCGTTGATTACCTTTATAAAATGATTTCCCTCCTTCACCACCTGTCCCTTTAGCGCCTCCGAAATTTTGGTTTGAGCGTCCGTTAGTCTCAAATCCACCACCACCTCCCCCAGAGTAATTATTGTCGCCTTCTTCAGCTCCCTTGCCTCCAGTGCCTCCCTGGAATTGTGAACCACCATATCCTGCGTTTCCATCGCTGGTGCCTGACCCCTGACACCGCGGGCTCTCACCCTTCATTTTATCGACACCACCACCTCCACCGGCTGGAAAGAAAATAAGAAATGTTGACCAAAATAATATCTGCATGA